TCAGTTTCCTCTCAAGTCTTACTCTAAAATATTGATAAGAAGTTCATTACAACAGGGTAAAGATGGAAGTGTTTGGAACTAGGAATGATGGTCATGTAAGGAGGAAATATTCCTCCCTCTGTTGTCTGACGTGATGTCTCTCTTCCTGGAATGCTCTTCTCTTTCCTCCATTCATTAGATAACTCCCACCAGCCTTTCACACCTCTGATTGTAAGCACCTACTCTAGGCACTTGAGCTACTTAAGTGCCCCTCTTGTGAGTTTCCATGGTGCCCTGTGCCTCCCATGTTAAAGTTCTTATAAACTCTATTGTCTCTCAGATTGCAGGTGGGCAAGATGCTGTCTGCCTAACTCACCATTGTATTTCCAGGACCAAGCACAATTCCTGGCAGATAGCTAGGTCTCAATAAATCTTTGTCAAATGAAGAGATGTGTTAATATAAGTCGATAAATGGTTTTCCTCCTGACAGATATAATATTGGAGAAAGAGGGAAAGATGTTAACCCAGCTCAGGGTTCCTATGACAAGATGTGGTAAGGAACATGATGCGAGGGTTTGTTTGGCATAGCTTGGGTTATTCTTAGCCCTCTAGATACTTCTCAGTTTAGTCTTCCAGGTCAGGAAGCTTCAGTTTTTGGAAGAATGAGTTTGATGGTCCCTGGTGATGGGGAAACACATGGATCAGCATGCATCACCCTCTCTTCCTAACTAGTTTCAAGCCACAGGCACATGGATCCTCTGGGATGTCCAACCAGGCCAGAAATCAGGAGTATGCTATGGCTGGGGACCAAGTCTTATTCACCACCTGGACATTCTCCTATATGTTGTATACACTGTCTGTCTTCTTATTACTACTGTCTACCTATCTATTCCATTATAAAGAGATGAACTATTCCCTTATGCATGACAGTTCTATTTGCTTATTCATCCAGCACTATTTTAGTCTATAGGACAAACTACAGAATGTGGAATGCCTCCCTCTTCATGTTTAGGTAATGCCTGGATAAAGGAGAGATATACCAAAACTAGACCTAACTTCTCCCAGTAAAAAATCTGTAGTATATGTCAGACAACCCCCACTCCCTCAGCTATGCATAAAAACCTAATTCTGGGTATTTGGAGTGGCAGTGGTTGGGAATTTAACTGAGAGAAAAGCAGAGATTCCTTGGTCTTGATGTGCTCCTAGGTTGAAGAGTAGAAAATTTGACTCTCACATAGCGTAATTACATAAAACTTCTCATAAAAAACAGTTAGTGGTCAGCCCCATTTTTGCCACCATGTCCACCTCCTCCTCGTGCTGTGGTCATATGTGTGCAAATTTCAACTCTCCTCATAGATATTGAGTAAGCTCACTCACACTCCTGGGTATCACTACAGCAATGCTTTCTATCTCAACTGATCAGAATAATTTTCAAATGGAGGCCCCAGATTCTCTCTCTAGAAATTCACTTTAAATAGGTCTGGGGATGGATTCTGGGGTTCTGTGTCTTTAAGTGGGTTGGTCATTCCACTCTAGTGTAATGCCTGTGACAAAGAGCAACTATGGCTAACCCACCTGTGCTGGAAGGAACTTCTGAGAACAACTAATACAATTCCTTCATTCTACAGTGAAAATGCTAATCCCAGGGCAGGAGGCTTTTAGAAAGAGGGAAAAGATAGAGAATTACACACAGATATAAGCAGGATTGCAGGGTGGGAGGCATGTTCTTTAGACCCAATTTCTTTTACATTCACTCAGACTAACTAGCTCCTCATCTCTGGAAGCCAGGTCTGCATACTAAATGGCAAGCATAGGAGTCTGGCCAACCTCTGCTTCATACTGTTTGTAATTTGCCTGATGCCCTGGCATTTCTGGGCAACAATCTGCTCACCCGGAATGGAAATCACACTATGCAACCCATGCACTGCTTCAGATTCTTAGTCTGATATTCAAAGAGGAGTTTCTCTCACAGATCTTTGAGCACCTTTAAAAGGCTTTTATAAATAGTCTTTTTTATTCTGGAATTCCAATCCCTGGCCCTTCAAGTTTTGCTCAAATTATTGTTACAGAAGGAAAAGGCAGAGCACTAGGAGGCAGGTCATGTGTGAAAGGGTGGAGGGTGGGGAGTGGACTGGGTGACTGGAAGGGCTGTCCAAAACCAAGGCTGAAGGACCATAGGAGATCTTAAACCATGCTCCTGGAGTTGCAGCACCATCGCTGCATACATTTTAGAAGCCCCAAGCTTTAAAGCATACAGACTAATACAGCAGACCCGCACTCCTGGGCACTTCTTTCCTCAGAGCTGCCATGGATGGGTTATAACTTTTCACAGGTGGCCTACCTAGAGGCTCAAACCTCAGCATCCTGTCAGAAGAGGTGGGAGGACCCAATTCAGACTAATGCCCCAGGAGTGAGGAGCCCTTGGCTCTGAACCTCTCTGGCTAGAGAGATGGCCCTGAGGCCAGCTGGTGCACAGCTCTGGTCTGTGAGGGAGTCCCAGACCCTGCCTGACTCACCCAGAGACACCTCTATTCTGCCATCATTCAATCTTTTTCCATATCCAGGCCTACTTATCCTGGGGAACCAGAGTCTATCTCCAGAGAACAATGCATGTCATGGGTCATTGTAATCAAAAGCCTGTGTAGTGAGCTGTACCCTGAACCTGAGGGGGGTGGGGTTTCCTAGGAGTGAATGCCCTTTTCTCTCATCCAGGTCTGTGTTTCTTCTGTGTCCTGAGGGGATGGACTGTTCCCCACTCATCCTCCATACAAGAGGGTCCTTGTTCAGGGGTATGCTTGAAAGAACAAGGGGAGAGATCTAATGAGAATCCCCATCTGGGTCTTTTAAGCCTCACCCCACCCCCACAGAGGGGACTAGGTGATGGAAAAGTAGGGGTGCCCCATAGGAGTTATTTGGGCCCTGTCAGGCCCCTGGGGAATTGTGCCATGGGGCAGATGGAGTCCTAGAGCAGCCTGGATTTGAAGAGAAGAGGCTAAGGTAAAACTGGTGAAATTAACATGCCCAATAAAAGTATGTTAGAAATGACTGGGTTGATACAGGAAATACCTCCGGAAAAGGCAAGGACCATAACTGAGATGAAGGATGCCATGTGTAGCAGAAAATACGTAGGCTTAGAATTGAGTCTGGCTGTGTGGCTGTGGCCTGTGTGCTTAGTTTTCCAGCTCTGCAAAATGGTGAGATAATACTGCCTGTGTGATGGGCTGTTCTTAAAATTGGAGAAGATACACACACACACACACACACATGCACACACACACACACACTCACAAACGCATATATACACACATATACACACATACATATACATATACATATACATATACGTATACATATACATATATTCATGTTCTACCTGTGTAAGGTATTTTACTAAGGTAGTAACAACCAAACATTATTGGGCATTAGAAACACCTAGAGGGCTGGTTAAAACCTGGTTTCCAGGCCTCACCCCCAGAGTCTCTGCTTCAGTAGGTCTGGGGTGATACATCTTTATTTGTCACAAGGTCCCAGGTGGTGCTGATGCTGCTGGCCCAGGTACCACCCTGAGAACCAGTGCTCTAGACTATAAGCTCTCTGAGAACTAAGAAGAGATATTTCTATCCCTTGTACCAGTGCCTACCTCATGGGTAAGCAATGAATATTTGTTAGTAGGGGAAAAAAAATGAATGGCTCCACATTATATGAATGACTTCACATAAAATAAAAAAATGGACTTCACATAAAGAACTTCAGTTTTCCTCTGCCAGGTGTCTCTTGGGTCTCTGCTTCTGACACTGCAGCACCTGATCCCTGGGACAAGGAAAAGACATCCTCAGAGCCAGGTCATAGATCTGTGGTGTCCAACTGTGGATCTGGATCTGTGAGTCCAGGCCAGAGTCACCCCCTGCTGTCCTCTTAAGAGGACCCCCTTTAGGGGTGCCTGGGTGGCTCAGTGGGTTAAAGCCTCTGCCTTCGGCTCAGGTCATGATTCCAGGGAACTGGGATCTAGCCCCGCATCAGGCTCTCTGCTCAGCAGGGAGCCTGCTTCCTCCTCTCTCTCTGCCTGCCTCTCTGTCTACTTGTGATCTCTGTCAGATAAATAAATAAAATCTTTAAAAAAAAAAAGAGGACCCCCTTTATTCTCTATAGACCCTGGTGGCCTCAGGGCACTGTAACCCTTGGGGAAAGGTTCTCCTCAAATGTACTCATTATGCAGCACCCATCTTATAGGCAGGGAGTGGCAAGAAGAGGCACCCTTCTCTCTCCTGCCCTCCAAACTCCCACCTTCATCCTGCCAAGACCATTTATGCACAGTGGGATTCAGGAATGATGGAGGAATTCAAAGACAACCTTGGAAGTTCCCTTTTCTATGATGTCAAAAAAAAAAAAGTTCTAACAATTTATTCTTACAAAAGAAGGGGGTACCCTGTGTGGAATACCACAGAGAACTTCCAGTTCTCCTCAAACTCCCCTCCCCCTCCTGACACCCAAAGCTGGGTGACCTGCCCAGATTGAGGAGCAAGAGTTATTCTTCTTGTCCCTCATTCCTCCTGCCGTTTCACCCAGCTTCTCCCATCAGATGCTAGTGGACTCCCATCAACACTGAGTGGAGACAGAAAACCCACAAGGCAACCCAACTGGTTAAGGAAAGCTCAGATCGCAATAAACTCAAGAACTCAAGGTACAGAAAACTCAAGAAAAAAAATAATAAAGAAGATCATCCCAGAGTGTCAGGAAGAGTAAAAAATAGGCATTATGCAGGACTCAGACTCTGAGGGTATCATTTTTATTGTTACATGGCCTCAAGCTGTCCCAGATGCTGGGGTTGCCTATTGGGATAGATCATGGCTCAAGCTGCCAACCCACAAGCCCTTGCTGAGCAGTTGCTTGCCCCAGGAGAAGCACGGGACTTCGAGGATATTCTCACTCCACTCAAATAGGAGTTTATAACCTACTTGGACAGGAAAAACAGACACATCTTAAAAGGGAAATAATTCAAGAGAGGTAGGGCAGGGCAGGGCAGTTACCAAGTGGCTGGTATAGACAATGTAATGAGTTCTAGGAAGTCAGTGTAGGCTCCTGTGGGTAGGAACAAACAGAAAAGACTCCAAGGAAGATGTATTGAAAGATGGGCTGGATTTCAGAGGCTGGGCATAGCAGAGAAGTGGTCCATGCAAGGAGGGTGGGAAGTGAGCAGAGGCTTGGAGTCAGGGACATCTAAGGTATATTCTGGAGAACATCCAGATGTGCCCTGGTAGCCAGACTGGTTTGGCTAGAACTGAGGGTGTGTACAGGGGAGGAGCCAGATGTAGGCTGGAAAGGTGCTCAAGATTAAGGTGTGGATCCTGAGGTGGCATGCAATGCAGTTTGGACATCACTTCTGCATCAAGGAACTTCCGACTGTCTTTGGAAGATGCACAGAGAACATGTTGGAAATTGAGGTTGCTGGGAAAGGAGGCATGACATTTTCAGGGCAGGAGGCAGGGATGTCTCAACCATGCTTCCTTAAAAATAAGCACCCTTTGTTCCAGAAGAGGAACCTCCTTTCACTCCAACACAGGTGCCTCCTTGGTCTCCACAATTACTGAAACCCTGTGGCTCTGGAATCCCATCGCAAGGTCCAAAGCTGTCACCACTTCCTTGCCACTGGTTATAACCATTTGGGCCACAGCTGGGGCCCTCAGTGTCCAGGCGGCATGGGCTGGACTCATGACAGCCTAGGTCTCCGGGGCATGGGATTGCATTTGGTCCTGAGCTTGAGCTGGGACAGCACCTAGGCTCCACACATGGCTCTGGGCTTGGGCAGGGTGCTGGAAGGGGAATTGGCTCTGGAAGTGAGGAAGGTTCTGGGTGCTCACAGGGCTGTGGACATGGACGTGACTCGGGAAATTCACGCTGCACTGATCTGGGATTTGGGGCTGCACGCGGGGCTGGATGTGGTTCCGGACACAGACAGGGTTCTGAACGACGCCGCAGTGGAGGACATGGACGGGGCTCCGACCTTGCACATGGCTCTGGGCGTGGATATGGCCGTAGAGCAGGACGTGGACATGAACGTGGGGCAGGAAGCGGGCATCGCTGCAGTGATCTCTCTGGAGTCTGATCCAGACGCCGTGGTGGACAGAAGCTTGGGAGTGGACGTGACTCTACACGTGGCCTCAGCTCTGGGCAAGAGGCGCCCCAGAAGGGTCGTGGGGCACAACTCTCAGGGCAACGTCTGATGGGAGGAATCTGAACCTGACACTTTTGCGGGGGCACCTGCCTGGGGCAGCACGGGGAGGAAATCTCTACCCGGCCCTTGGGACCGCATCTCCGAGAGCAGCCTGAAGTGGGACCCTGAGGACAGCCACTGCTATAGATGGGCTCAGAGCGACGCGGTGGGGTGCAGTAGTTATAGGAACTTGAAGAAGATGCTGATGGCAGCCAGCTGGTGTAGGGCTCAGACCGTCTTGGAGGGGAACAGCTGCGGTAGGAAGGCTGCTGCTGGCGAGGAGGGAGGCATCTGCCGGTGCTCTGGGAGTGACGCTGGACAGGGAAGCTCCCGTAAGACTCGCGTGCCTGGCACTGAGGTGCACAAGTGCTAAATGAAGCCCGAGACTGACGCTGAGGGGCGCAGTTCCTGTAAGAAGTCCTGGATTGGAACTGTGGGGTACAGGTGCTATAGGAAGCCCCGGATTGGAAATGTGGAGTGCAGTTGCTGTAGGAAGCAGGGGACTGACGCTGCGGGGCGTATCTGACTTGGGAGCCCTGATACAGGCACTGGGTTGAGAATCTTCCCTGAGTCTGGGAAGCTGGGTTACAAGCCACATAAGTCTGGACAGGCTGAGGAGCTGGATAGGGTACAAAGGTCTGGACTGGGCATTCCATGTAACAAGTTTCTGTATAACAAGCGGGAGCACATTCTACATAGCAGGTCTGAACAGGGCATGGAGCTTCACACTGCACATAGGAAACCTCAGGCTGGCATGGGCCCTGGCATTGAACACAGGAGACTTGAGACTGACATGGAGCGTGGCACTTCACCTGGGTGGTCTTAGACTTACTTGAAGCCTGGCACTTCGATTGTGTGGTCTTAGACTGGCATGGAGCCTGGCACTTCACCTGCATAGTCTGGGACTGACATGGAGCCTGGCATTTTACCTGGGAAACTTGAGCTGGGCATGGTGCAGGACACTCCATAATTTGCATCTCACAGGGGACTTGGACTACCACCTGACTCTTGGCACTGGGGGACTGGGAGGGGTAGAAGGAGGAATTCTTCACACAGCACTGGGGGAGCGACAGGCAACACTGAATCTGCTGCTGGTCACACATTGTTCTGATGCAGGCAGGTGAGTGAGGCCTGATGGTAAAAAGATCAGTGTCAGGAGGATGAGTTGTTAGGGGGAAGGGTTTAGGACCAAAGGGAAGACACCCTGCTTCTTCCCTGTACTTTCATCCCAACTCAACCTTTGCCCTAGAACACACTGAGTTAGATGGACCCAATATTAGTCACCACTGCCCATGAGACCTCTCTTGGATCTACCAAAGGACCTAACTGAAGTCCTGATCTGACAGAACTTCAAAGGCACAGCCAGGGGTGCAGGCATCCAAGGTCTCCCCCTGGAGGGGTGGGATACCAGTGTGCAACACAAGAGGTTGTTGAAGACAACAGGATTCCTTGTCCTAAGTGTCAGGAGAGCACTCCACAGAAAGGTAGAGGTGCTTCCAAGGCTGTAGCCTAATATGGGGTCTCCACACCCACAGGAACTTGGATATCCTCATATACATGCACTGGCAACACACACATGTGCAAACATGTAAAAATTAGCATATGGGAGCATGCATTCAGGCACCATCTGCACTAAAATCATCTACTGGATATAAAGGATCCAGTCAGTTATTGGGCAGCTCAACCCCAACATAAAATGTTTGTTTCTCTACATTGAATCTTTTTAGGTACATTTGTTTAAATGGCCCTCATGAACATATGCAAAACACACACAGACAAAACACACCAACCTTTGGAAAGGCTCAGAACCACCATGAAAACTTGCCCAGGCAGATTGCTATTGTAAATCGCCTGAATTGGGACAATTTACTGGCTTCACAAATATCTTACCACAGCCCCTCTTAAAGTCAGGGAATGACTGCCTAAGATAGGGTAACCCAGAAAGTGCAAGATTCCTAAATCACGAGACTGACATTCAGCCACACATAAACCCCTACACAGCGGGAGCATTACAAACATGACATGGGGGATGCAGGTATATTCTCTAACACTACATTTATCCAAGGAGAAACAGAGGGCAGTCTCCATTCCTCTGCCTTCCCTAAATTCACTTGTTCATATACAGGCAGCCCAGTGACCAGCACAGCATCGTGGCTGATTTAACAGTTAACTCATCCAACAAAACACTTCTCAATAAGCTCCAGAAATACCAAAAATGAAAGGCAAAACCTTCCATTTTCCATTTATAGAGAGTATTTAAAAACACACGCCCTTAGGGAAAATAACCCCCCTACATACAACTCTGCTCACAAAGTGTAAATTACTAATGCATGTTTTCCAGGGAAAGAGGTCCTGATGTAGGAAAATGGTACCTGAGGAGGAGGCCACCATTATCAAAGGTAAATACACTGACTTCAGATCCTCAGTTCTTCACACAAACTCTGCAGGTACTCTTCTTATGTCCCATAAAAAAAGTCTACCAGATTTTTCTCCTCAGGTTTATGTGCCTCTCTTCCTCTCCTTGCAGCTCCCCCCGCCCCACTATGCCTCACCCTCGTGAATCTAGGCATCCCCTGAAATGCAACCTTAACCCAATCCCAGGACCCAAACCCTAGACTCACCCTCCTCGCAGCAAGCAGACATTCAGGCTGAAGCATCTGGACAGAGAACTGTCTTTATATATAGGGTTCTGGGTCTGGCTTACACCATGAGACAGCTGGTTGGCATCTGCCTGGCTCATCACCCAGGTTGCCATTCCAGCAGGCAGTCTCCTCCCTATATGTTTGTCCTTGCAGTCACCTACAGAATGTGGGAGTGTCTCACTTCAATGTCAAACCTTCTGGACCACGAAGGAGCAGATCCTTGTTTTCTTTATCCTTCTTAACCCTATCAGTTTCTTCTCCATCCCTAGGAGAACTGGTGGTAGAGGTGATGAGGGGTGGCAGAAATATCATCTGTCCTAAAGGATTATTCCAAGCCCCTGACTTCTCCTTATGTCATATTCTCATCAGATAAATGTAAAAGAGGAAAATTTCCCTAACTTGAAGGAATTAAAGTCACCTGAAAGATACAACACTACAGAATGAAGAAAACATGGTCAGACCTCAAGCTAACATCCCAGGTTGGATGCTCACAGGTGGGTTACCTTTAAAACCAACTGAGTATTAATTTACTCAACTGAAAAATGAAGATAATTAAATTTCCTTTCCAGAGTTTTTGTGGGGGTTAAGGCAATTATTTTATAGAAAAGCATCCAGCCAAGAATAATACTCACTTAATCAACATCTACTCAGAGTAAATACTGATCATAAGCAGCAAGGCACAGCATTTACTCCTACTCCTGAGCTGAGCAACCTGGTAGCTTTACAGCAGATGCTCAGTTAATGCTATGGAGTTGAAGACAACATAGTGCAGGACAAAAGTAATAACCTGGCATCCTATGTAGCAGTCACAGTCAGGATGAGACATCTTTTTATCTTTTGCCCACATAATTTTTGTTTATATAATTTAGTAATTAATAATTAATATTTAGAAATAGAGAAATTATACTTAAGATTCTAGACATCCAGCTTTCCCTCACCTATGATCTGTCATAGTAAGCTTAATTTCCATAAGCCCAATAATTAATAGTGCCCCTCTTAGATAGGGTATATAGTTTTAGGCTCTACATCTACTTGCATATTCTACAATTCTCCATCATTATATAGTATATCTGTGATGCAATGCAAATAATAGTGGGTTTTATTATTTTACTTATTCTCTTGTTTTTCTTTGGTGAGATTAAAGGAAAGTGAAATAATCCTTCTGCCTGGATCATTTCACTTTCTTTATGTAACCTTCCAACCTTTCTAGATATTAAGATTCTAACCAAGCTTGTGAGCATAGACTTTAGACAGATTTGGGATTGAATCTGAGCTCTAGTACTTGCTAACGGGTAAAGCTACTTAACCTCCAAGAGCCTCAGATTGACTATCTATAAAGTGGAAATAAGAAAAGAAAATAAATAAAAAAAATAAAAAGGAGGAGGAAGAAGGTGCATAGGAGGAAAAAGAAATAAGAAGAGAAATAAGGAAGAGGAAGAATTGGAAAAGTCATAGGATTATCATGTGACTTAAATGTGATTTAAGTGATCTAAACTATATAGCACTCAGTTACCCATTTAGCTCTCAGGGTTTTAGTTTCCTCACATTAAGATGGGAGTGAAAATACTTCACTAGGTTCTCATGAAGATAAAATCAGATAATGGGTATGAAAGTGCTTTGTGACCTACACTACACATACCAGTCCCTCCTATGGACAAGTCTCTGCCCTGGTCCACCTGACTTTAGAGTTCAAGTTCTGGGTCCCAATACTCATTCCAAAGGGGGTCTCCAGCTTTCATTTCAAATTTGGGTAGGATCATAGATTTTCAGAAGGTCAAAGCAACAAGGGTCCCCAGGAATTTTCCAGTGCTACCTGGTCATTCTACAGATTAGGACTCCAAAGCCCCAAAAGATGAATCTCTCTGAGGCTTAAAGCTAATGTTGGTTGTCTTGGAGAGATAAGACTCCAGGTAGCTCTAGTCCCAGATCAGGACTTTTTCCACTACAACAGAGAAAGTAGTTCTCTGAGCACACAGTTTGGCCAAGGTACTCTGAACTTGTATAGCCTTGGGCTTGATTTTGGCCTAGAAGTCATTCAGGAAATCAGTGAAGAAGGAAAACTGAAAACATAGACCAGCTGGCCTCACCGGAATGTGAGTTATTGAATCCCAGAGTCTCCCTCACTCATCTCTTGATAGGATGTGCACTTCCTGATGGGAGAATCTCTTTTTACCTTTTTCATCATTGTATCTCTAGATTCCTGAATTAATATCAATATGTTGATGGATGGGTGGAGAGAAGAATGGAAGAATGGCATGAAATTGGGCTTGTTTCACACATCTTAAACCACTGGAGAATGAACTGATACCGTCCAATCCAAAGACCAAAAGAGCACTGTGACTCTTGTTACTTCCTGCTGCTCGCATTTTTAGAGAGCAGTGGGAGGAGAGTCATGGAGGAGGACCCTGAGGGTAAGTCTTACAAATGACCAGGAGCTAAGGTGCTGGTTTTCAATTATCTATAGATAGATGGGGCTATTTAGAAATATACATGGTTAGACTATAACCATATAAACCTAGGAACAGGTGATAACAATGTGGTGATGTATAAAATTGATATAAAGATATCAAAAGAGAGCTGAGTAAATAGATCTACAAAACTGATAAAAATAGAAATAGATATAATAAAATGTAGACCAAAAGAGATGAGTTAGAGATTAAAAATATGTAGAAGTATAAAGAGTACAAGCTGGGAGTGAAATAGGTCATGTCACAGAAGCACAGCATATATGGATTCATTAATTTAAAAAGATGGAGGCAACTCAAAAAGCATGCATAAATCCAGAGATAACTGAGCATTTACTATATAACTCTCACTTGGCTAAGAATTTGACATATATTAACTCTCTCCATCTTTTAAATAGCCCTGGTGGGGTACAAATTATTATTATTATTTTATAGCTGAGAAAATAAAATTCAAAGCTATAGTAATTTGTTGGTGGTCACAAGCTTGGAAATGGCAGAATCAGGATTCAAAGCCAAGTTTTCTAGAGGTAGAGGCTCAGGTAGTAGATATACAATGAGACAAAATTACTCTGAATTACAGATATTTAGAGAGGCACTCCATGCTTTGTTGTACTATGAGATGCTTTTTAGGAGTTATGATCCTCTGGGGCCCAGGCTTCCTGAACCTTAATGGAATTCACTTAATGGAATAACAGTGTGTGTTAGGATGCCTCGATCCTAAGAGCTAGAATAAATACTTATCCTGTCTTTGCAAAGATGTATGTTTTTAAACTGATTTGATAAAACCTCTGCCACATTCTTCTTTTCACTTGAGTCCCCTCCTATCACTATAATAGCTGGAGGTTCAGGGACTCATCCCTGAAATGGAGGTGATATTTGCCATCTCAGATATCATTCAATCTTTCCATATAAATTATGAGTATCTTGTGACTGCTACCCTCAAGAATTGAAGTAATCAGGGTTTCACCCTATCACCAGGGTGATACTACTCAGTCGTCCTCCCCAAACCCAGTTTCAGTGGATCAGATGTGTATTTAAACCACATAGTACATATGTGTCAACTAGGGTAAAGGTAAAGGCACAAAATACTATCATAGATTGTCACCAAATGGTTGTTTAATGGATAAAGAAATAACACCTCCCTGTGTCAGGGAGAACAAAGAAAAGTAATTCTAAACAGAGCAGAAGAGCTCCCCGGTTCTGTTGCAACCACCTTTAACAGAGACATTAAAAATAAAAGAGGAAGCAAGCACAACAGGGATGGTGATTGGGAGCATCAAAAGGACATACAAGGATATATAAAGATGTAGAAGGACACAGAGAGAGGCTGGAGTTGGAAATGTATGAACAGAAAATGTGTAGAAACCAGGGAGTAGGTATAAGACCCAAAATAAAGTTATATATCTACTTTCACTCTTTTTCACATTTTGCAAATTTGATAATGTTGTCTCAATTAAGTTAAATAGTAATATGTGTATGTTTCCTCAACAGGATAAAAACTAGGTTAGACAAGTCATACTCCTGCTTATACAGATAATTGGGGGCCTCTGAAAGGGTTAGTGACACCCTCGTATCATCAAACAGTAATACTCTGAGTCTAGTACAGAACTAAACCAACTACTCTTTTAATCATAGTAAACTCAGACAGTTGACACCATGGTGAATGGACAATCCTGCTTCATCAGATGCTCAGACTTGTAGAGTGTAATCAGTGTAGCATCACTGTGTTATCAATACCTAGTGATTTAGAGAAGTGTGAAAGGTGTTTGCTGGCAAAGATACATCAAATGCCAAGCTGTCTTTAGTTACAGAGAACCACATCCTACTGCTCAATAATGTGCAGCCAATGTAGGTCGGTGCTTCATGTCTGATTCCGTTTCTCAGAATTCTTTCCTCTGCTCAGAGTACTGTGTCCTGACCCTTTTTCCCCACCCACTCCATTCCCCTGTGTGCCAGTCATCTGCTAGGATTTGTATCACATTTAGTCCAACTCCAAGGTCTCCATAAGCCTCACTTAGCTCTACTATTACCATTGCGCTGGGTGAAATGAACCACACTGGGGCCCCAACAGTTTTCTTTTATTGTACTTACAAATAATGCACAGAATCAGACCTAAAAATACAGAGAACAAACAGAGCTGTCAGAGAGAAGGAAGTTTAGGGGATGGGAAAAAATGGGTGAAGGGGAGTGGGAGATACAGGCTTCCAGTTATAGAATGAATAAGTTACAGAGATGAAAGGCAAAGCATAGAGAATATAGTGAATGATTCTGTAATAGTGTTGTATGATGACAGATGGTAGCTACACTTTTAGTGAGCACAATATAATGGTATAATGTACAGAGATGTTGAACCCCTATATTGTACATCTGAGACTAATGTAACAGTATATGTCAACTGTACTCAAAGAAAAAAAATTGAATCTCAAAAAAAGTGAAAAGATAACCTACAGAATAAAAGAAAATATTTGTAAACCATATATCTGAAAATGGACTTGAATCTAGAATATATAAAGAACACTTACAACTAAATAATAAAAAAGATATTACAATTAAAAAAAATGG